CGTGGATGCAGCCCCGCACGCTTGGCTGAGCAGTTGGTGCTAAATCGGTGTCGCCGTGCTGGGGAAACGAGCTGATTCGTGCTGAGTGCGGGTGTTCCCAGGGAAGAAGCACCGGTTGTTCCTCGCCGCAGCCGGGCCGTGTGAGTTCCCGTCCTGGGTCCCTCGGCATCACCATCACGCGTGTCCCGTGTGCAGCTCCAAGCGGGGCCTCCTCTTCAGCACCTCCCTGACCTGATGTTCTTGGTACAAAACCAAAACCCACACGAACAACCCAACAGCCAGCAACAACCAAAACAACAGACCCCCAGGAGCGGCATTTCTGTGGGAAACAGGTTAATCCCAACTACACAACAGTGCTTTCCTTTTTTATAGTGTCACAGAAAGGGGAAGGTACTTCTTAAAAATCTCTTGGTTTACATTATTACACCTGTTGTTTGAGGAAATAACATGAGGACTTCACTGCTACACAGCAATGTACAGAAAATTCCCCCCAGCAGGGGATGTGTTATTTGAAAATGGATGAAATGATCCTATTGCAATCTTTCATTTTCTTGTTTAAAATGTAGCATAAACATTGAAATCATTTTAAAAGTTTAATTTAGATTTGAACTCTAATAGACTAATTATTCTAAACAGATATGTAGTAACTTTCATAATCAGTATTTGATGTAATTGCCTTCAAGTTGCCTACCTGAAGACACGTTAGCAACCTGGACAGTGTTTGAACTGCCCAGATCCAGGGCACAGACTGGAACAGCAGGCAGTGTGGCTACATGAGAACAGCCCTGTGGCTGTTCCACCACTGCACACCAGCCCAAGACTGAGGTCAGAGTACAGCTCACGGCTCAGAGCCCTGGCTCTGAATGAATATATACATGTAGTATGTTAGATTTAACACAGCAGCTGCTCAAAACACTGACAGATACATAACTGGAATCTGTTTTAACTGATACATAAAAGGCAGACAGCTGGACATCCCATGTCTTTCAAGCCTTTTCTCAGTTAATGCAGGATATATGAAGAACTTGTGATCCAGGTTGTTTTCTGACATCTGATTCAATAGTGAAACACATCAGGCCCAGTTAAAGATGACCTAGGGCAGCTTTAGCTTGTGCATCAAAACAACACATTATTTTATCTATAACACTGGCTCTTCTTTGATAAATCAATTTCTGCATGATAAAAATTATTGGGGAAAAGAGTGCCAGAAAATACTACTTGGTTGTATTTGTGACATATTAGTATTTTCCACTATTTTAATATTTCTCCTCTAGGAATTTACTCCTGTCCTCTGTTCTCCTTGTCCCCCAAAGAGAAGATATTAAGTGAGATACTGTTAAATATTTGCAACGCTAATTAATACCAGCTAAAACATTAGAAGACAGATGTTAGACTTGCCAGCAAAGCAAGAACTCCAGCAATCACAACTCCTCCATTTAATACTGCAATGTGTAGTCACTTGGATGGAAAGCTCCAAACATGCCTTGTATTCCTGCATCATGAGGGCAAGAAAATCCTCTTATTAATCCAGATTGGGAAAGCAGACTGATGCTGAATAGGAAGGGGCAGGAAGAGACAGATGGACATAGGCTGCTTGCTACTGATCACAGAAAAAATGTAATACACTTCTAGATGCCTATTTTGGGCTACAATTAAAGAACCAGATGTGACCTCTGATAAAAATATCCCGTGGTACAAAACTGCTACAGGTCCTGATACCAGACAAGGTCAGTTGGAGTGTAAGAGCTGATGTCGTAATCTCTCTGTTTAGGGACTGAGTATATAGATATGAAAAGATAATTTGATAATGGACCAGGCACTGTACCAAAATAGGATACCTGGATGGTTCACAGATTTATTTTGGTTTCTGAAAAGTTTGTTATTTATCAGCAGTTTTAAAAGCATGTGGTATAACAATGCACAAACTACTGTTTCTGAGGAAAGATTTCAGATGTTCTGGGGTTCCCTGGAGTTTGTGTTTATTCTTCACTTTTCTATCCAGTTTCCTTCCTGCCTTCCTTGGAAAGGGAAGTCAGATCCCTGACCCCAACAGCAGTGCAGAAAGTGGTCCACAAGGCTGTCCCACACCATATGACACAGGAGAGAATATTTTACCAATCAGGACTGTAAGGGAGTAAAACAAGGTTCTTAACCCTCCTTAGGCCCATGTATCTGCAGATCTTGCTTTAAAACAAAACAAACCCACATATTTATCAAAAATATTTTCAGTGATATAAAGAGACCACATTGCTTAAAGCTGTGTACTGGCCTGGAATATCAGCCTTTTTAGAGGGGGGGAAAAAACACAACAAAAACCAAACAACAGCCAAACACAAAAGGAAGAGGGTATTTGGAATTTGATTTCTACTTCTCCCTAAGGAAGACAGACCATCACAAGGGAACCAGGTGCCACAGTTTAATGGGTTCCTCAACTGATACACCATCACTGCTCATGTGCACCCTTGGAAGCAGCATGTGGATTAACCATATCACAGTAAGAGCCAGAACACCAGCAGGTGCACTGTGACCAATGCTATGGGGCTACCTGCTCAAGTGACACATTCCAGGTGACAGTTTGATTCCTGTCTTAATTGTGTGTGTCATTTGAGTTGGTCAGACCTCTCCCAAAACCTCAGTTGTGTTTGGCTGGCACACCTGGGAGGCATGTCTCACATCTGCCTCGACGTGGCAAAGAATGGGACTCTAACAAGGTCCTGGTCTGAAATGATGGGGCTGCAGTCGGTGTTGTGGGAAAACAATCAGGTGGTGATGATGCTAAGGTAGGCACAGCAGTTAAGTGATAAGGTGCATCTGCCATTACGCAATACGTAATTGCCTCTGAGCATATTAAACAGAGGGGCTTCTTAACTTCATTTTTAAAAAAAGGATGCAATGTTTTTTCAAAGCATTATCTTCAGAGCCTCACACTGGTGGGAGCTGGTTAGCTCTGATGTGACAGATTGAGATCACTGGGAGTCAAACATTCCATATACTGTACAAAGCCTGACGTAACGCCAGCTTTACAGGAACAGTTTTCAGACACTGTGGATGGGTAGCTGTTTTCTTATCTTCAGGGATTTAAAGATACCAGACATGGCATTTCCTCAGTACCAGGTAGTTAAGGATATTTTCTCTATCGGTGATCCAGAACTAGTAGCCCCTTTCTCTTTCTGAACACTACTCTGAACAGAAAATGTCAGACACTGAAATAAGCCAGCAAGGTATTTCTTCCCGTCTGTTAACCCCTTAAGAATACTACATCCAATCAAATGGATTAAATTAAATACTTCCTCATGCACACTGCTGGACAGAACCACCTGTCACGTGGTTCACAACACTCAGAAGAGCTGGGCCTACACCTGAGACGTGTCAGACTGTCCAACAGTCAGACCCTGCAGAATGCACAGCAGTGCCTAGCAACCATCGGGGTGGTCACAAGTGGGGAGGAGACCTGCAATTCTCACAATTCACAGACACAAAACCAACTTTCATTATATATATTCAACAGCAGACTTATGCATTAATATATATTTTTTTTTTCATTCTCAAATATAAATGTTAGAAATAAAAAGATACAGGAAAAAAGAGGTTTGGGTTAAATAAATGTTACCCACATCTACAACAAACAACATTTATTTAAGGATCAAAGAAATCTTTATACTACACAGAAATGTTGTATAATCTTCTCTAAAATCCTCGTGGTGTGACTAAGAGAGGAACTGAGACCTTTTTCCCATGAATGCATTCTAGTGAAAGGGATCCTGTGCATGTTGTCTGTAACATACACGTGCACATGGGACAGATCCTTATGGCAGTACCTGATGGCATGGATGCCTGCATTAAGGGGTTCTGTGGCTTGTTTCACAGAGTAAAAAGGAAAGTGCACGTTTCAGCTTCCTTTTAGCAATGAAGTGTACCAGACTGTGAATGAAGAGCAGATTACATACTAGATAAACATACTAGAGGTCTCTACTGCTTTCTCTCATTCCATCTATTCTTCTCACAGAAATTCAGTTTCAACAGTTTTGAGGGAGGTATCTCATGAATCACAGCTTTTGCAGAATGGGTTTTTCCATCAGTGACCTTTACAAGAGGTAGATTGGCAAAAGTAAAATTGCTTTTCTACAATACTCACCACTTAAGATGTTCACACCATCTTACAGACCAAACAGGATTTGTAATCTCACCATGAAATAAAGTACAACATTAAGTAGGTGCTCCACATTTACCCTTGCTACACTGCTCTTGCAAGAAACAAGATATGTCTTTGACCAAATGTAAATGGAATGCCAAGGTTATTAACATAATTATTAATTTAATAAAATAAAGACATTATCAAGGAGTGCCGCTATTTAAAAGCACTTGTGCTTGAAAGAAATTACAGCACAGATGGCACAAAACAAGGAGCTCGCTCCTGCTCCAATTAAAAGCTAAACTCTGACTCACATAATTGCAGATGGAATCACTCTCAGGTACATTGACAGAAGATGGTAACTTTCAGCTCATATAGATTTTTGAAGTGCTTGGAATGGCTAAGTCACGTCTCTGACTTACACAGCTGAACTGGAAAAGCTTCACTATGAAAATATTCTCCTGCACCTTCACTGACGTGCACACAGAATTCAAGTCAGGCAATTTCTAGAAATCAAACCACATCTCAATGAGGCAGGACTTTTAATTGTGAAAAAAACTAGATAAATCTTTATAAAGTATTTGATGCACCCTTTCCCCCTTGAGCAATCTGCTGCTCTAGGAACTGCCTTTGCCTACAGCTAACCCTGGCAAGTGTGACCTGCTGCTACAGATAATATGATGAGCTTTAGTTTTGCATTTCATGAGCAAAAAACTGCTGTTGGTGCAAGCTGCCTTGCACCTTTCTCTAATGATAAGATTCCAGCTTTTTCCCACTGTTGTTTCCTTTCCCACATGTGAACAGTCTGTTGTGGCATTTATTTAAATAGGAAAAAAAGGGTTTATCAATCCCAGCAAATACATGCTAATGCCTACTAAAACAAAAAAAAAATACTTCAATGCATCAAATACTTTATAAAGATTTATCTAGTTTTTGCACAGGTGCTTAAATTATAAGAGCATGTCACCACTTCTTATCTAAGCAGGATTTAATCCAGCAGCCCCGAGATTAAGTTATTTTATTGCAACAGCAGTAACTTTTAGTATGGTTTCTACTGTTTCACACAGAAGAACAGCCTCTGTCTGCAGGAATGTACACTCAAAGTACAAGCAGAAAATCCAACAGATGGATAAAACAGTGTAACCAAATTAAATAAATATGAGAAGTTAGACAATGTAAAAAGCATTGGACACAATACATCAGCCTCCAAATAATGGTCACCTGCTACCTGTCCCCTGGGTCATTCAGGGTACTCCCTAAAATATCTTTCAGTGATTCTCTCATGAGACAGATAAGCCATTTCCAGTTTTGACATTTGTTTG